TCCGTAAGGATTGAACCCATCTGTTGCCAGTGCAACACGTACATTACGAGCCTCTAGAGCTTTCTCACGATGAATCTCATCAAACCTTGTCTAGGCTTCACCATCGGTTGGGTGTACCATCTTCTCAGGATTGTATCGACGTCCGTTGTTGTGCCATGTCATCTGTTTCGCGGATTCCTCAGTCATGTAAAGCTGTTGGATCCTCGGTATGAAAGGAAGGTACCATAGGATCTTCACGGGGATTGCGAGCTGCCTCTTCTGACCATCACCAGAGTCTACCTCCAGGAACCTAGACGATTCGCACTTCACACAGTACTTTTCTTCCGCATACTCTTTCCTAAATAAGATGCACCCCTTCGGACAAGCATGTATCTGCTCGTATGGCATCTTAAGTGCACGAAGGAGTTTCTGTGCCTCATACATGCTCTTTGGCAAGATGTGACCATCTGGGAGCAGGCTGCCAACAACTGTGAGCATAACATCGAAGGCGTCTCGACTCAAGCTAAACTGGAACTTCACGGCCATTAGGCGTGCAATGGCATCCAGTTGAGAAACCTTGGAATGCCCGTGAAGGGGTTGCTGTGCCGCAGACAACATGTCGTAATACGCCTTTGCGGTAGCCTCTGGCTCCTCCTCCCTACGTCCTTCATCGAAGTGTGCTTCATGATAGTCATTTAACATGTCTCCTACCCGGCATCCCCATCATATTCCTCGATGAGTTGTCTCACGACCTCGTCTCTCCCACGATCTGCTTCACCATGGTAGATCCACCTGATATAGTCTGCCGTAAATCCATTCTTGCAAAGATGTTTACCCATGACCATCTTGGTTTGCCGACGCGTGTTTGCACATTTGCTGCAGGGACACCAAGTGACACCAACTCCTTTAACCCTTGCAAATGCCCGTTCCAAGAAAGTATCGGTCTTGTCAATCCATTCAGCGGTCAACGAAGTCTGACTAGAGCGGCCCGTGTACATCCACTCACGGTCATCCATCCTCTAGCATATCAGCGAGTAATATAAAAAATCACGTTGCATCTACACGTTTCTATACTATCTAATAGGTGAAGATAGGTCCTAATCCCACCCGAGGATGTATAGATGGGGTTAGTTTACATCTCTACTCCTATCCGAGACAGAATTTCGGCAGCATCTCCCCGCTGTTCTCCAAATACACGTCCTAGAAGGGAGATTGTGTATCCGGAGAACAATAGGGAGATGCTGCCGAAACTCTATCACGGATCGGAGTAGAGCATGGAAACTAACCACATCTACACATCCTCGGGCTGTCCAAAAAACGTGGACAACTCAAAACAGATACGGTTATAGATATGCAAAGATCTGCATATTTCCAACCGTATCTCTTTCGAACGGGAGACATCTAGCTAGGTTACGTGATATATGAACATAATACGGAAAGAATGGTCTTTTATGCCTTACCTTGCTGTCCTGCAAAGTGACGAGTCGAGGGCAAGGCGGAACCAGGCGGCAGGGCGGGGCAGGGAGCGGCGGCAAAAACCTGCAAGTTCATATGTGGTTGTAAGATTCAAGCAAGAGTGATGGTCACAAGAGTGATGCCCTTTTTTAGGGCAGGAGTGTACTGTACGAGAGTTCATCTTTTAAAGAATTTCTGAACACAATGGTGATGGTCATGAAGAGAATGGTCTTTGAGGAGATACAAACGGCTCTCTGAAAGATGACATTGTCTCATAATAGAAAGATGACATTGTCTCATAATAGTACGTCAACGTCAAAATTTTGTAGGAAGAGTAAGCTGCACTCTGCCTGTACTCGTTTAAGATACTCCTACTCCTACACAGCAGCAATGCCACTATTACAGTATATACTGTATTTGAAATGGCAGGTTGAGAATGTATAACAGCCAGCCATTGACTGTACTAGTAGTACATACGTACAGTAATAAATCATTGCCATTCGTGCCATCACATAATAGCGGTACTGCTGCATAGCTAACACAATCTGGGATAATAACAACGCAAATGAGATATGACCATCACTATTCACTACCTACAGAATAAATTTGTACAAGGTCTCTGTTCCAGAAGACGAGATTAAAGGTGGAAGTATAAAGCTAAAATATGAGATTGAGTTGAGCAGACTGTTCAATTGGTCATCTATTTCGTCAGGTAATGTTAGGACATTGATAAATGTTTAGCAAAGCCATGGATATAATCAGCAACTGCAGGGCAAGTGAAGCATCAGAGGCCTACTATTTAATATGAAAATCAAAGTAGCATTACACCTTGTCGATCCTAACAGACAAATACAAACTCATCTGCCATTTGCATTTCTTAACAAGCAAAGTTTTTTTTTAATTCCAGGGCATGCAACCTCAGTCCATTTGCATTGCAACACAGTTCAGGTCACAAACTGAGTCCTTGCACTTCTTGCGGCAAATTGGCAGGCTTTTACAAGCCGCTGAAGATCTAACGGTGGCTAGCTGCATCCAAAGACTCACCACCTATACTGCTACTGAACCACAGAACACAACCCTGGAATGTCACATGTTTGATTGGCAGCAGTATGGCGCAGCAGACTTGTACAGGCAAATCGGATAGGAGAAAACAAGCTATTACTTCAAAGATGAACAGAAATAGGCTGGCAGACCGGTAACAGGCAAGATACATTACACCTTAGGATTTATTTACAGCAAAAGGTAGATCTTCAAATGAGCTTCTCACTCAACAAAGTAAGCTATTTCCCAATCATTATCCCCCAGTCAAGCACAGCAGATAATTCTCACTCAACAAAGGCAGACTTGTACAGTTAAGGTTTGAAGACAAACACAGCAGGCGCGGCCCAGTAAAGGACATGGGTGTATACATACACTACACCAGATAATTTTTTGAAACATAATCGAATTAGTAGGCATAACACATGTATACTCCTGTAATTATATCAGATCCGAATACAAATAGGTTAAGCTAGGGTTTGGATGCTCAGTTTCGCGTAGCAGGAAGGGAAGAGAAGGGGTGGGCGTACTCGTCGCCGGCGAAGGGCCCGAAGAAAACCTGGCGAAGGGCGGCGGCGGCGGTCGTCCAGTCGTCGCCACGAGAGAGAGCTTCGCATGCGGGGCGCCGGAGGCGGGACGCGCCGGGGGCAGGCGGCGCCGGTGGTGGGGCGGGGCACCGAGGGCGGGCGGCGCTGGGGCGGACGCGCTGGGCGGGCGGCGCTGCGGGCGGGCGGGCGCTGGGCGGGCGCTGGCCGGGGCGAAGCAGCGATCTTTGCGCCGGTGGCGGGCGCGGTGGGGGGAGGCGGCGGGCGGTGGGGCTGGGGTTAGCGGCGTGCGTTGTGTGCAGGCTTGCGAGGGTGAGGGCCGGGTGGTAACCGGTGGGGTTTTTTTTGAAGGAGTATGCCGAGTGCCAAGATCTAGGGCACTCGGCATTATTTTTTTTAACGTTTCATTACGGCCAAATACTGGGCAGTGGGGCCGGTCGACGGATTTGCCGAGTGTCCCCTATATGACACTCGGCAACTGTTCTTTTCGCCGAGTGTCAGGTACAAAACACTCGGCAAAATAAATCTATATTTCATGCTCCACCATCCTCCTTCATAGCGTGTTCTACTAAATTTGTTACGATGTAATTTAAAAATACCTTGTCAAATTCACTCAACAATGAATATTTGATTTTTCTACGAATATTAATCCATTATTTCATGCAGTTATAGCTCAAATTCAATATATATCAATTAAAATTCTATAATTGCAGTTAATAAATTAAAATTATCAAACGGATCTGAAAAATTACCAAAATTTGACGTGAACCAATTTATGTTGTCTATTACCTATACAAAAAGTTTTGAAGTCAAACCCCGATTCGATCATCACTTTGACTCCAAATCTTATCGAATCCTTCTAAACACTATGATTCTTGTACGGAGATGCTTCTATTTGTAAAAGTCATACGTGACAAATTATGCGAAATCTTCTCAATTTTTTTTACAGTCTCCACGTATGATATCAGGAGATCTTGACAAATCTCGTCATTTTCAGACTTCGTTTGCTTTTTTTACAATTTAAAAATCATTCAGCCACACGTTCGTGGACGTGTTTCCTGAATAAAATGTTCGAAAATTCTTTTTATTTCCTGAGTAAGGCCCCAAAATGGACTCAATAACATGAATATGATTTCTCCACTCAATTTATTCCATTATTTGTATCACTTGCAGTTCAAATTTGACTTAAACCAAAAAATTTCTCTAAATGCAATAAATTACTTAAATATAGCAAACAGATGGAGAAATATATCAAATTTTAACATGTAGTACCACATGTTGTATGTGGAGAGTAGAAAAAATTTGGAGGGCAGTAGAGAAAAAACAATTATTATTTTGCCGAGTGCCACTAAAAAACACTCGGTAAAAATATTACTTTGCCGAGTGTAAACAGAAAACACTCGGCAAAAGTATTAATTTGCCGAGTGTTAAGAAAAAGCACATGGCATACCTTGTCTTTGCCGAGTGTCTCTAACGGACACTTGGCAAAGTTCTAACGGCAGGGCAGCGCACCCAACGGCCGTCAGATGGCCGCCGCACGCCCAGCGCACGTGACTCCATTTTGCTGAGTGTCCGTGGTTGCCGAGAGTTTTTTTGTATTTTGCCGAGTGTTTTATATTAGGCACTCGGCAAAATTTGCTTTTGCCGAGTGCTATGTGTTTGCCGAGTGTTTCATTAAATACACTCGGTAAAGTGGATGTTTGCCGAGTGCCCGATGGAATGCACTCGGCAAACCCTCAGGCACTCGGCAATTCTACTGTTTCCGGTAGTGTACTTAAAGTTTGTAAGTTATTATTTTAATAAGTTGACTCAAATATGTGTTTTTAAAATACGCATGCATATTCATGAAACGTAATTTGTATAAATTATTACTTTACATTTTATCTAAAATGTTTGAAATATCTATATTTAGTAGTGTAATTGTAAAGAGTTTTTTTTATAATAAAGCAATATCTGGGTGTTCATTTATTTTATCATTTTTAGGTTGTGAAGGAAACTATGAGATTCTACACTGCATCTCCACTGGTTGCAAGGGAAGCATCCGAGGATGTTGAGGTTGGAGGGTACCTCCTGCCCAAGGTAAGAGACATCATCTGCAGTTCTGCACAGGCAGCGTGCTAGTAGCAAGCAACGTTCAGTGGTGCATATAAAAAAAACTGTCACTAGTAACAATCATCTGTCTAACACATTTGTGACACCCTCATAGGGCACATGGGTGTGGCTGACGCCCGGCGTGCTGGCGAAAGATCCGAAGGACTTTCCAGACCCGGACGTGTTCCGGCCGGAGCGTTTCGACCCGGAGAGTGAGGAGTGCAAGCGAAGGCACCCCTACGCGTTCATCCCCTTCGGCATCGGCCCCCGGGCATGCATCGGCCAGAAGTTTGCCATGCAGCAGCTGAAGCTAGTCGTCATCCACCTCTACCGCAAATACGTCTTCAGGCACTCGCCCAGGATGGAGTTTCCCCTGCAGTTCCAGTACTCCATTTTGGTCAACTTCAAGTATGGTGTCAAGGTCCAGTTCATCGAGAGGAAGAACTGATGCACGCATTATTAGCAGAAGTTCCAAACAGAATATGCATCTCTATGACTCTATGTTATACAGAATCACTACTGGAGGCCGCGGCTTTGCCGAGTGTTTTTACACTTGGCAAAGAGCCCTTTCCACTCGGCAAAGGCTTTGCCGAGTGTAGCACTCGGCAAAGTCCGCTTGGCAAAATTTTTCTCGACAAAAAGTCTTTGCCGAGTGCTTTTTATCGGGGCACTCGACAAAATAAAAAAAATTGCCGAGTGCTTGGGGCGGCACTCGGCAAAATATTTTCGGCCGTTGCGGCGCCGGCCGTTAACGGTTATTTTGCCGAGTGCCCGACCCAGCACTCGCAAAAAAAAAATTATTTTTTTTTAAATTACTTTGCCGAGTGCCCCAGCCAAGGCACTCGGCAAAGTTTTTTTATTTTTTTTTAAAAAGTACTTTGCCGAGTGCCTCTGCCCAGGCACTCGTCAAAGTTTTTTTTTATTTTTTTTTATTACTTTGCCGAGTGCTCCTGCCCAGACACTCGGCAAAGTTTTTTTTTTTTTTTTAAATAATTTCTTTGCCGAGTGCCCCTATTTAGGCACTCGACAAAGAATTTCTGAATTTTTTAAAAAAAAACTTTGTCGAGTGCCGCGGCGAGGCACTCGGCAAAGAAAATTTATATACTTTTTTTGAAAAATCTTTGCCGAGTGCCTTGCCCATGGCACTCGGCAAAGACCCCGAGAATTGCAAAAAAAAATTACATTCCATTGTAACAAACATATATATATATACACACATCAATCATCACATCTATATCACCAACATGTATTATATATCACAAGCACACGCATATTTAATAAATCCATCACAAATGCACCAAAGTTCAACATCACAAGTTTATTATTACAAGTTCAACATCACAAAGTTCAACATCCCTACTGCGGCGACGAAGACTGCAGGTGTGGCCCCCCGAACTGCGGTGAAGGACCGGACTGCGGCGAAGGGTTGACGCGATCAGCCGCCGGTGACACGGTAGCGATTGTTTGAACCCGCCGACGGAGGCTGCACAAAAGAGGAGATTGCATGTGTTAGACTCAAAATTGAAAATTTCGACAGCACCTCCCCTGCACGGGGAGGTTTCCAACCTGCAAGAAACAACGGCACGAAGGCCGACAATCACAACGGCACGAAGGCCGACAATCCCAATGGCACGAAGACCGAAAATCACAACGGCACGAAGGCCAACAATCCCAACGGCACGAACCCATTAAACTTTCATACTCACAGGAGTGAAGTGTCGAACCGGAGCTGGAGCTGGCAACTGCACTTGGACACCCGATGCTTGCCCGATGGTTTGCATGATCTGATACATGTCCGCCATCTGCTTCTTCGTGGCCTCCAGCTCTGCGGTCAAGTGCGCTTGCGTCTCCCTTGTCTCTGCCAGCTCGGCCTGCAGTGTTTCAATCACATGTTTCAGTATTGCAAATCTGATCAATGTGTGTAACGTTCAATGTACGATGAGTGAAACCGAAATTACCTAAAGTTCGTCGACCCGCGACAGTGTTGAATTTTTTTTTAAAAAAATTCTTTGCAACTTGTGTACGATTAAATTTCTGCAGCTTGTGTACGATTCAAGAAGAAATCATTTTTGTTGGTGCACATGACAAAAAAATTTTGGAGTAGAAAGAGATACTTGCAGACCTCTATACTATAGCAAAGGTTTACTGAAGGTTCTAAAATCTTTAGGGACATCAGTGGGATTCACAGCACAGCAGTGTGATTCACAGGTCCATCTAGAGGCACAAGGTGCCTCCCATACAGTGTTGCCCACTTGCAAAGGAAAAAAAGAAAAACACAAATGTACTTACATTATTTTTCAGCACTTGTCATGAGATAGATATAAGCAAAGCAGTAAAGTAATCCATCACTCCAATAATGACTAATTACTAATTAATATGCTCTTCAGACCTCAATTGGCCAGGTTCTTAAAAAATGTAATAAAGAAAGAGGAGCCTATAGATGTAGGCGAGGGAAAAAATGTACTCTTTACATCATCCACCTATGCCAGAAGCTAAGTAAAATCAGAACCAGGGCCAAGATATTGTAAGAGAGCAGTCGGAATTGGTACCCTGCTCCCTGCAGTTGTGAACTAAAGGCTGCCAATATTTGTCGTTTCAACAACTGACTCACGTGGTGACATCTATCAAAATGAGGAACAACGAAAGAAATAAGCAAAAAGTATACACAAAATAATTCTTTGGTTCTGATTTATACATTGGCCATTTAAGCAGTGATTGAATACTTAAGTGTCAATTGATATAGCAATTTTTGAGCAGTGATCCATGTTGTTATAATTGTACTGCAACCAACTGTAACTTTATCAGAACTTGATTGCTTTCTCACTAACTCAAGTCATACTTCTGTCTACTACCCTTTTTGTCAAGCCAAGTTCCAAATTGTGTCTTGGAGATGAAAAAATAAATAAAGATGGTGACAGTCAATGGTGGTGGTACAAAATCCATGTGGAAAGCATAAAGCATACGCAAATGAATCATTTTCAGTGAATGCAAAAATGATAGTGCCATGGGATGATACAGTCAGACTTACAAAATTCACGCCAAGGAAAGAAAGAGCTGATTACACATTTTTAATATAATTTGATGGAGTGAAAGTAACAACTATCAAACCATGTGGGCTTTACAAATCACACACATCTATCTTTTTGCTTGACTTGCAGTATTTATATGGGCGTCAGAAGTTCATGTATTGAAAATTAAGAATCCATCCTGCACTATAATCTCACCTTATAACAACATAGGACGTGGTTTCAGTTGCAGTGTTTTACATCGCGGAGTTAACCATGGGGCTTATAAAGTTCAGATGCACAACTAACATCTAGGGCAGCTAACTCAGGTAGATACATACACCTGTGTATCCATCAGATTGTTTTGACTACTTACAGCAAGGTGGGCAGAGGTTGAAAGTCATGCACTTAAGTGTCCAACACAGCAGCTACATAAATGAGGTATGCAAAAACTCAGATTTCCAATACCAGTTCACAAATTTAGATAACTGATGCAGCCCTGAAGTCAATGCTGCGACACAGCTAAATTCATATGGTTCTACTTGTGACTGCACATCCATATATTCAAAACACAAGAACTTATGCTCAATTAAATAGATCAATATAAGAGGGGATCTGGAGTCGATAGGTCGGATCACCCACCCCGGCAAGTAATCTGGGAAACCGCAGAAGCCCTAAGTCGAACAGGGAATTCAATTTCAATCCAACCATGCAACGTTTTGGAGATCCTACCAGCAAAAAAGAGAAGGTGAGACGAATTCGACCTGAGTCCAGTCCAATTCCTGCTCCGCTCAACACCGACCCAGCACCAGCGGATCGACGCGAGGAGGCGATGGCGCTGCGACGGGCTGGGCGCCGCGCTGGGATCCGGTGGGCGGGGGACCGTCCTCGGCGGAGGAGAAGAGGCAGCACCTGCCGGCCGGTCGATGGCCTCGCCTCGCCGCCGCGTGGAGGGGGTTGGTGGCCTCGCCGCGCCGCCGCGTGGGGAGTAGGGGAGCCACGTCGCCACGTGCCGGCCGTTCAGTGGCCTCGCGGAGTCGCGCGCGCCGCCGCGTGGAGCTCGTTGGTGTCCTCGCCGCGTGGGGAGCAGCCGAGCAGGGGAGCCGCGCCATCGTGTCCCGGCCGGTTGGCGGCCTCGCGCGTGCGGCCACGTGGGGAGCAGGGGAGCCGCGCGCAGGGAGCTGGTGGGGAGGAGGCGCCAAGCGTGGCGCGGAGGGGAGTCGGGCGGGCGGGCGGCGGGGCGTGGCGGGCGGCGCGCGGCGCCACAAGCGCGCGCGGGCGCGGGGCGGGGCGGCGGCGTGGTGGTGGGCGCGCGGCGGCGGCGTGGCTGGGGCGTTTTTAGGGTTGGGCAGCGGGTTGGGCGGTGGGCTTTTACTCGGCAATTTTTTTTTAATTAACTTGCCGAGTGCCCCTGCCCCCACTTGGCAAAAGCCCACTTTGCGAAAGTGCCCCCAAAACTCCAAAAATTTTTTTTTTATTTTGGGCCCAAACTTTTTTCTAGGGCCTTGTGACAGTATTTCAAACTCTATTTTAAAATTTAGGGCAGCCCACTTTGCCGAGTGCCCCCTGGGCCGGCACTCGGCAAAGCCCACTTTGCCGAGTGCCCCCCATGGCACTCGGCAAAATATTTTTTTTTATTTTGGACCCAAATTTTTTTTCTAGGGCCTTGTGACAGTATTTCAAACTCTATTTTAAAATTTAGGGCAATTTTGATTTTTTTTTATATATTTCATTAGTCTATTTCGTTTCGTCGAATTTTTCGAGATATTTCAAATTTAAACTACAGGTACATAGAATAATGGACTTTGGTCATCCAAAAATTGATACTCATGATATTTAGGGTATGTTTAGGCCGTATCCAGGAACTCACATGAAATCTCGAGCATCTCGTTGACGTAACATGTCGAGGTACTTGCCGGAAATGTGATTTTAAATTATATAAAATGCAAACGAAGTCCGAAAATCACGAAACTTGTCGAGGTGTCGTGTTATCGCATGTGGAGTCAGTGGTAAAAAATTAAGAAGGTTTCGAGCAAGTTGTGACGTCGGATGCAAAAAACCCAGACATACGCCTCGACAAGTTTCGTGATTTTCGACTTCGTTTGCATTTTATATAATTTAAAATCACATTTCTGGCAAGTACCTCGACATGTTACGTCAACGAGATGCTCGAGATTTCATGTGAGTTCCTGGATACGGCCTAAACATACCCTAAATATCATGAGTATCAATTTTTGGATGACCAAAGTCCATTATTCCATATACCTGCAGTTAAAATTTGAAATATCCCGAAAAATTCGACGAAACGAAATAAATTAATGAAATATATCAAAAAAAGTCAAAAATGCCCCAAATTTTAAAATAGAGTTTGAAATACTGTCACAAGACCCCAGAAAAAATTTTGGGCCCAAAATCAAAAAAAAATATTTTGCCGAGTGCCATGGGGGCATTCGACAAAGTGGGCTTTGCCGAGTGCCGGCCTAGGGGGCACTCGGCAAAGTTGATTTTCAAAAAAAAATTGCCGAGTGCCTGGCGCTAGCACTCGGCAAAATAAGTTTTAAAAAATTAAAAAAAATTGCCAAGTGCCATGGGCTGGCACTCGGCAAAATATGTTTTTAAAAAATAAAAAAAAATGCCGAGTGCCTGGGGCTGGCACTCGGCAAAATAAGTTTTTAAAAAAAATTGCAGAGTGCCAGCCGTTAGGCACTCGGTAAAATCTGACGGCAAGTGGCCGCCGTCACGGGCCGGCCACCTTTTGCCGAGTGGGAGGCACTCGGCAAAGCCCAGTTTTGCCGAGAGCCAGGCTTTACCGAGTGCCTGGCACTCAGCAAAGCCACCTTTGCCGAGTGCTTTTATTTCGCCGAGTGCCCCGATAAAAAACACTCGGCAAAGTCTCAGCCACTCGGTAAAGTCCAGTTTTCCAGTGGTGAATATGCATCTATATGCTGTCCTCCACTACGTGAAGTGTTGTAAATACCAAAATCTTGAACAAATCAGCGCCACCTCTAGCAGGCGTACGTGTAATAATACTGTAATAGCATATAGTGGCCGATGACATGGCTGTATATATATACATGACATATTTCTCTGTGTGCTTACTTTAGGCCGCCCATGGCAAGAGTTCGAGTCGAGGCTCCCTAGGTTGCATCATCATCCTCTAACAAAGCATACGTTACAGTTTGGAGCTACAAAATCTTCCCCAAACACTACATCACTCATGTTATGGCCGACCACCTAAGCTCTAGCCCACGACGCGAGACGCACGCGAGCATGTGTTTCATTTTCCATTTTTGTTAACTTCACAATAGTTACATACATTTACGCTTAAGTAAGCATGTGTCTCGCCTTCCACCTTTCTTAACTCACAATAGTTACATAAATTTCGATCTCTTGTCATTTTTTCATACATCATTAATCATCTATTGCACCTACATTTATTATGGTTCTTGAAATTTAGTTAATTTAGTTGAAATAAGATTGGGCAAAGTCCAATTCAATCCAACGAAGATAGCTAACTCATTATCAATGGTAGGGTTAGCCTATATGATTGCAAACATTGAAAGCAGTAAATTTCTTTTCTATCTCTCACTCTATCCTCATATGTTCGTCCTTCACTCCTCTTATGTTACTTGGTCTATCGTCCCTCACTCTCACCCTTCCCGTTTTGAGTTCGGAGCTGCAAAATGATTCTCACTATTCTCGCTTTGAGTTTAAAGCTACAAAACTTTCATAGGTGTCACACCACCCATGTCATGACCAATCCACCTAATCCCATACGTGTCGCGGCGTACGTGCCGGAGTGTGGTTTGTCTTCCGCTTTTTTAAAACTCACAATAGAATAATAGATGCACACAATAGTCACTCATTTAAGTTGAGTCAATCTTCTGTCAATTTTCCACACATGATTATACTTTTATTGCGCTAGCATTTATTATGGACATGAGCACCCAGATTAGGCTAATTAAGCCCAATAAAATCCAATAAAAATAGGTAGCTCATTATCATCGGCACGAGCATCGTGCAAACAGATTATACATCCAATTACAATATAAGAGCATATTTACTAGTATAATATTCAAAGCCACAAATTTTCTGTTCATCCTTCGCTCTCACCCATTTTCATTAGTCTGCTACTCTCTTTCCTTCACTTTCCACACCTCTTCTTCCATCTCTTGGTTATCATCCCTCACTCCCACTCTTCTCACTCCAACACGGGTCGGTTATAGTTTGGAGTTGTAGAACCTTACTAGCACCGCTTATGTCATGGCCTCTCCGCCTAAGCCTGAGTCTATGCCACGATGTGCGCTGGTGTCGGGTTCGACTTCACCTTTTATTAACCTCACAACATGTGCACACAATAATCATCCATTTAAGATGACTCAATTTCTAGTTTATTTCTCTTATGATTAATCTTTTATTGCACCTAGAGTTCATTATGAGCCTTGAAATTTATTTGATTTAGTTAAAATAAGGTTGGGCCAAGTCCAATTAGATCCAACCAAGATAGATAGCTCATTATCATCCGTTATCACACTCTCTCCCAAGTTGTATGTCCTATTGCAATGCAAGTTGTACTTGCAACGGGCATGTTTGCTAGTACAATATTAAAGGGAGAATTTTTTTTCATCCATGATCGTTGTCTCTCTCCCCATACGTATGTCCCTTACTTTCAACTTTTTTTTTCTTTCATTCATTTCTCATTACGATGTCCCTCGCTCCATCCTATCCCCTCACTTCCACCTTTGTTCTTTCTTCCTTCGGACTACCATTTCTCATTCTCACCCATTGCCCACTCACAACAGGAGTCCTAGGCCCAGCCTTACCAGCCTGGGAACGGGAATATGGCCTACGTTCCCGTTCCCATGTTCGACGTTCCGGGAACGTCTACGTTCTCGTTCCCACGTTATAAAATGATACCCCAAGCTTCCGTTCCTGTTCCAGGAACGGGAACATGGCCCACGTTCATATTCTCATGTTTCACGTTCCGGGAATGTCTACGTTTCGGGAACGCAAACGGAAATTTCCACGTTATAAAATGATACCCCAAGCTCCCATTCCTGTTCCAGGACCAGGACTGGGACCGGGAACATCACTGTGCTAAGGGCCCAGCTGAGGTGGTCTATCCTCCTCCAACAAGGTTTTACAACATGTAGCTATAAAACCTTTGTTGGTGTTGCACCATCATGTTGTGGTCTGAACATAGCTTGCCTTTCACCTTTCTTAACCTTGACTTCATGTAAATCGAAACAACTATTTGTAACAGTCACTGTCAACTTCATTCAAAAATATTTTTTCAGATAATTAAGGCACTTTAAATCTGATTATCTGAACCAAAGATTTCATAACATCAACAACCAGTCGGCCGTAATGAAATAGACTAATTGCCTAGAGCAAATCAAGTGAATGCTCAACATAAGTTGGCTTCGGACATGAATACCTTTGTCAGAAGGGGGTTTGAACAGGGTAAAAAGGACAAAAGAGAGCAATAGTAATCTATAATTTACAAGAAAATAATGAACAAAACAATAGTAGGTCCTGTGTTACCCTATTTCACGTGATAAAGCTCCTACATGATGCCCTCCTCCAAGCAAATCTCCTGAGCAGAGAGCAGAGTTTCCTGTCAAAATTCTATTTTGCAGTGTCTCATCATGTAACGCATCCTCGACGACCTGTGTGGACCTGATTTGGAGGTCATGAATGATGTTCTTCCTCGTGAGAAGAAGTTGTGTTTCCATGTGGTGCATGAGTTGGATGGTTGTATTTCTTGAAGACCCGCTCTTGGTTTTCCCTCCACCATTCTTCAGCCTGATTCTCTGCAAATCTCCTCTTGCTGTCCAAACAGACAAGTTTCAGTCTATAGTGAAAGTTAAGGTAAAACCATAGTAATTTCAAATTCAGAATTTTTACTCCATTGAAGGGGGGAAATGGTACCTGAATCGTACCCGCTTGAATACTTTGGTACCGTCCTTCAGCTGGATAAGTGTCACATATACGCCAGGTTCAAACTGCTCAATTAACTGCACCTCTCCATGGGTACCATGTTTCGGGGCAAAATAACCATGGGCCTTTGCACTGTTTTCCATGAAACGATGGGATGGGGATTCACTTGTGATGGAAATGGCTGAGCCACTAGCAGAACTGTCATCTTGAGACATTGTCAGGTAACCTACACCTCCTGACTTATGAGTGACCAAATCATATCTTCCACTTCCACCACTGGATAGGTGAAGATGATCACGTTCCATTGGATTCATGAGTTCTGATGGGTGACCTGATTGTTCCCTCAAGAGAGACTGTGTCTTCATTTGCAAAGCTTTCATGCTGTCGGCAGCATCAACAGGCAGTTTATCCACAATACCCATGAGCTGCGAAAGAGTGGTAGATTAATGTGTGTACACCAGCCACATAAACCCATTGATAGATCAAATCATCAAACTGGAATGACATTTTCAATTCTATCAACTTATTAAAAAAAGAATTTCATGAATGGAAACTATCTTTAAAGTTAGACCATATCATGTAAATTCATAATATCAAGGATATGAAACACAAGCTTTCAGAAGTGCATGCAAATCTTTACAGTACCTCATGATCAACAAATTTGACAAACTCCACGGCAGCATTACGTTTTGAGGATTCTTCAGTGGCCATAGAGGCAACTGACTTAGCTTTTTTATCTGATTTCTGAAGCTGCTCATGTTGTGCTTCGCACTTTTGTTTCAAATCCTCAACCTGTTAAAAAGATAATACTTCAACAAAGCAGCTAACCATAACGAATTATATATGAAGTATAATACAGCAGCTTGCGTACTTTTTTGTCAAAATATCAACCTGTTGAAGACATAATACTTTGACAAAGCAGCTAAACGTAACAAATTAGAAAGTACAATACAGCATCGTACTTGCCTGAGACTGCAATTTCAGAAGTTCTTGATTCAGCAAGTCATTTGACTTCTGCAAGTGATCAACATCAACTTTACAGCTCTGTGGAATAGCAGAAGCAGGAGGTGATTTTGCTTTCTTTGTGTATGGAGATGGAGGTGCCAAAGAAAATGCCGGTATTGCAGGTGACATAGCTAGTGCTGGTGACATTCCCATAGGTTGAAGCCCACCACCAAATTGGGCAGCAAAACCAAGATCTTTGAACTGTAGTAGAGCCGAAGCTTGAGATGCCTTCATGATCGAATCTGCAGTTTTCATATCACTTTTAGCTGCTTTTACCTCCATATACTTGACTGGCTCTGCTGACGATGTTGCCACAAGCCTAGGAGGCCTTATTTCTGGCCTCTCTGGTTTTTCTCTACTATCAGTAGAGCGACGAGTAGCAGCATTTCTTCTGTTGGCATTGCTGCTGCTGGTATCTGCATTCTTCAATTTCAGGAAACATGAATCACATACACGATGCGGTTTGCCAGGAGTTGGTGCCAGAGCAGCCTTGAGCACTTTTCTTGAACTGCAAGCATGGCAGTGTACTAGCCCACAGTTGTAGCAATTATGTCTCTTTCTCGTGAAACCAAATGCCTGCCTACAACCTGTGCAAACAGACTGATCTGCTCCTGACACCCACTTATGTATGCAAATACATGTAGTGAAGTTTGAACCGCATGATATACTTTTGACATGCCGATCTTTAAGTGCTTCGACAATAGTTGGTGCCTTTTTGTCATTGAGGTCACCATGACCAAGTCTTCCATTGGCACCCATTCCCCATGTGTAGACTTCGCTTCTTGACGTTAGAACTGCAACATGGGCAGCTCCACATGAGATCTCTTCAACCAACTCGTGAGCTAGTTTATCTTTGACCAAGCAAGGTTGTTTACCATCAGATTTTGGATTTCCGAGCTGACCATTGTCAGAACTACCCATGGTATACACATGACCAGATGTAGCAAGGGCAACAGTCATGTTTTGTCCACAGGCCAGCTGATGAAAATTGTGCTCAAGAAGAGCTTGAACACAAGTAGGAATCAGCCTAGCTTCTTTGTCCCCTTGGCCTAAACGATTCTTATCTCCATCACCCCAGGTATACAGCTTCTTAGACACCACATTCATGCCTGTCTGAACAGTGGCCTCCACAATTGCTGCAGAATGCCAGACTCCGCATGCAACTTTGATAGTTCTAAATCCATTCAAGGCTTCCACTTCTTTTGGGTACGCGGAGCTTTCATGGTTTCCATGCCCAAGAGCACCAAATGTTCCATCACCAAATGTGTAGAGTCTTCCAGTTGACGTGATCAGAGCTGAATGCCATGAGCCACATGCAACAGATAGTACCTGAAGTCCCTCCAAGGGCCCTGAGACATGTTTTGGAAGCCAATGGCTAGCCCCAGTGTCGTATCCAAGCAATCCAGCATGGTAAGAACCATCCCCCCAATTGAACAGATCACCAGAAGCAGATATAGCACAGGTATGGAACTCTCCGCATGAAATAAAATCAACTATGGTCACGGATATTGACTCTACAAGCTTGGGACGACTAATATCTGTATCAGTTCCATGACCAAGGCGCCCGCCAAGTTCCTCACCCCATGTAAACACCTCCCCTTGCCTGGTAGTAAGAGCAACATGCCTTGAACCACATACTATCTGATTAACATCTAAGACAACATCTGATTCTAAAGGTTTGGGGATCAAAACGTCTACTTTTGAGCATGAAGAGGTTGTGTGTCCATCTGATGGGGCCGCATCAGTCCAAACTTCACCCCATACATAAACATCACCAAGGGATTCTATGTCATCTGTTCCAGAACCCTGACTGGAAGAGCTAGGGGCGGCACTGGAAATACTAAGTCGAGTACTATCTGCACCACTAGTTCTTATCATATTTGCACGATCAGATCCAGCATCTGATCTTCGGAAACTAAAAGAACTGCCTCCGCAATAACCTGCTGTGTTAAAACTACGTGAAATACTTGAAGCAATATCTAGTGTTGAATCATATGGATGACTATCTTGATAATATGATACATCCTGGAAAGCAAAACCACAAATTAGATCACAATATACTGCATTTCGTAAATCAAATAAAGATGCATACAAATCTCAAGCTACATAAGAACTAAGAACAAGTCTAGGATGGGTAGCTACAGGGTGGAAATGTCGAAGTATGGATGCTCATTCTTCACAGGAAAATTCAAGGCACAAACATATAGCTGACTATCGATCTCAAACTTTAAGCTTCCAAACATGCAAGTAACTATTTTGTTTTAGTAAAAATAATCTCCAAGTGTAACTAGGGGAAATCAAACATATAATAATATTAAGTGCATGTATAATGATGTATAAAAAGCAATCCTACCTTCTTAACATACTCTCATTTGGCATCAGAACATCAAATTGACATAGAAACAATAAACCACACGCCTGGAAGAAAAGGAGAACTGTTTAGGAACACAAACTCACATCAGAGAATGATACTCTATCTTTGTGCTCATCAACTGAAGAATTTCTATGGCATGAACTTATTAACCCCTCGAGTGCTGAAAACCAAACTTCAACTTCAACTTGATCTTTGCAAACCTATATAGAAAGAAAGAAATCCACGGTACAACTGTCATCATTATATTATTCTATCGTAGCTTTAACCTATTTAGTATCGGTTAATGGTTAGAAGCTCACAAATTTATCTTTACCAGATCAAGGGAACGTTGACCGTTCTTGTATATGAGTGAAAATGATAGATAGTCCTTTTCAGGGCGTAAAAACCTCCTAAAAACAGCCTGATCAAGAGATAAACATGTAAGGACATGGTAGAACTTAGATTTAAATATTCATTTTCCCGAAGGAAAATGTTAGCTAAACTGCAATATAGTGTCTATTGCAATATACCTACTCTTCTTTTAATATTTACTGCCGGTATGGTTATGCCAGCAAGAAAAATATTGATAATAGTAAACTTACAGTTCTCTGTCCAGGAATGACTTTAGATACAGAGGACAGTCTGAGGAACTTTTCCTTTTTGTGAGAATACCAAATTAATGCTGTTTCGTCCTGTAACAAGGAGTGTGAAGCAAACAGTGTCAAACACATCATCCCCATGTCAGGCAATTGGCATATATGCATATTACTCAGCATATATATTCCCTCAAATATATTGGTAATCAGATTTTAAACATACAAATTTCATAAAGTGGACGCCAATGTTTGCATGTGAAGATTATTCCTATCCATATTGCAAGAAGCATATACATTGAAAAAAAAGGGCACATATTAAGCACTTTACTCCTCCATTAACAGCCTATATAGACTTTTAGCATCTATACTAAATTACCAATATAGGCACATCTTTGCTTTTAGCAATAAGTTTCCTTCTTTTGTTATTTTCCCTTTACCATGTTTCACTTCAGAGCTTCTCACGTAATTCAGTTTAAGAATAAGCTATATTCCACAAGTCGAACAAAATCATTTCAAGATCAAAGGAACGAGTGTCTATGAACTTACACTAGAAAGTCTGAAAGAACGGATCTTGGGTTTTCCTTTCCGGCTATACTTGATAAGCTTGCTACCTTTCTTTAGAGTAATAAGGGCCTTCAGAAAATGAAACACAAATGTGGTATCACAGAAGTTTTGCCACATGTGCAATTGATAAGAAAGTGAAATACAATATCATATATTAATAGTCATGTTTATAGCCTTACATTTTCATCCGGTGTCATCTAAACAGCTACAAGTCAACATCCTACTGTCAGCTCTTTTCATCCACAACTGCAAACACAAGAAATAAAAAAAGAAAAAATGAAGCTTTTGATATGTCATTATTAATGTATCACAGGAATGTTTTTTTTTTCATTTTTAAAAAATAGAAGTTGACAAATCATTTGGCAATAACAGAAAAGGCAAATTGTAGCAAAAGGTGGAAGAAAAAGTGCCATGATGAAACAATGTTGCAATTCCCCAAACATAGGATTAGTTCACATGATTCCCATCAAACTTTTGTCCTGACAATCTAGTGGTTTGCACATACCATGAACCCCATATGTTATTTTACAACAATTAGCCTCTTATGGCACTACTGATGAAATAGGAGCATGTTTGCAAAGAAATATCTAGGGGGACATGGGAATCAAAACTTTGTGAAGAGAAACAACAGTAATACCAGACAGAAGCCAACACCTGTACGTACAGCACGCTAACAATAAATACTTTCTTTAGAGTTGGTTTGTCATGCTTCTAGACGATTACAATTGGTATGCCTGAGAATGTAAATTAACTGTCAGTTAAGAGAAATTTTACAGTGCTTCGAAAAAATAACAGCCATTCATCCAGCAAAATCTAATGGTAAAAAAAAGGAAAACCGACTGAAAGGAACTTAAGTATTGGACCGGAAACAAAAATTAGTGGACCAGGAACTAATTACAAATTTATTTATTTATTTATTTTTTAAAAGAGGAGAAGCCTCAGCTTTTAAGAAAGCAGTAGTTTGATACAGAATTACAGACTGGGAACTGTTAGACTGTAAATGTATATATGCGTGTGTATATGGGCCTGGGCCTTGGTATAGCCGGCCGGTCCTCTATTTGGTTAGAGAGATATGAGGAGATCTCGGTTTGGTCTTGTTTCTATAAACCACGAGATCTCCTCTCCCCTATATATATGTACATAGGTCTCTCAATCAATCAATCAATCTATTATTCCACGCAATTCTTATTGCTTTCATGGTATCACGAGCATAGTTTTTTTTTCCTTCCTTTCCTGGCTGTCGCCCGCCGCCTCCCTGCCATGGCCGGTGCCACCCCCACCACCGCTTCCTCCGCTGCTGCTGTCGTCGATCCCGACGCCGCTGCTGCCGAGTCCAGGGAGGAGCGCGGCTGCGCAGGCCGACCCCGCCTCTGCCGCTGCCCTCCAGTTCACGGAGACGCGCGTCCGCGCGGCCGAGCAGGCCGCTGCTGCCGCTGCCCTCCAGTCCACGGAGGCGCGCGGCCGAGCAGGCCGCTGCGGCTCGACTCGCCAAGGAGGAGCGCGCCCGCACGGCTCAGGCCGCTCGCGACGCCGCCGCTGCTCAGCAGGAGCGGGACGCGGCTGATGCGCGACTTCAGGCCGCCCTTGACCGCGTGGCTCAGGAGCACGCCGTGGCCGCTCCGCCTCTGGAAGACGCGCTGCCCCTGACGACGCCGAGGATGCTGAGGATTTCGCCTCTGCCGACGGCGGCGATCCCCATCTTCGCGTCGTTCTGCTTCAGCACGAGGCCGCGGCCCTCCTCAACCTGCACGCCCAGGTTGTGGCCGTGCAGAACATCCGGCTGCTCGTCCCGCTTGTCCTCGACGTCACCTCCGCCTTCTATGGCCGCTGGCGTCAATCGTTCCTCCTCATCGTCGGCCCCTACTCCCTGGAGAGCCATGTCCTCTCTGACGCTGCCGCCCCCAACTCTCCGGATTGGGCGCGCATGGACTGCGTTGTGCAAACTTGGATCACCGGCACCATCACCGACGCTCTCGCCGAGGCCGTGATCGAGTTCGGCACCACCGCCCGCGCCTCCTGGCTCGCCATCGAGTCACAGTTCCGCGGCAATCGCGAAACTCGTGCTCTCCACCTCGACGCCACCTTCCGCAACTTCAAGCAAGGCGACCTCGACATCACTACGTACTGCCGGAAAGTCAAGGGCATGGCAGACGCCCTCCGCGACCTCGGCGAGCCCGTCAACAACAGAACTCTTGTCCTCAATCTCCTGCGCGGTCTCAATGGCCGTTTCGAAGCCATTGGGATTCACCTTCGCCGCGGACGTCCGTTTCCTACCTCTCTGCAGGCCCGCAACGATTTGCTCCTAGAGGAACTCACTATGGCGGAGTCTGCCCCGCCTCCTTCAGCTACAGCCCTGACTGCCACCTCCGGCAGCGCTCGGCTGCCTGCGCCCGCGTCCGTCACTCCACCAGCCGCTCCCCAGCAGCGGCTGCCGAACCAGCAGCAGCAGTCCAGGGGAGGCAAGTGCGCGCGGCGAGGCAAGCGCGGCGGGGGCGGGCGCAGCAACTCCAACAGCGCCTTCCCCAACGGCAGCGGCGCCCAGCAGCAGCAGCAGTGGCCCAATCTTCATCAGCCATGGACCGGATCCATCAACATGTGGCCTGGACCTCGGCCCTCGACGCTGCCACACCCGCACGCACTTCTCGCTGGTGTACAGCAGGGGCCTGGTGGACCGCAACAGCTCCCTCAGGCGCTTCTGACTAGCGCTCAGCAAGGCTGGGGCGTCAATCCTAGCGTCCAGCAGTGGGCGCTTCCTCCGGCTGGTCTGTACAGCCCAGCCATCGCGCCACCCGGCTGGGACGCTTCCAGCCTCGCCGCGAACTTTCAGACCATGTCGCTCCAGCAGCCTACATTGAGCAACTGGTACTTCGACTCTGGCGCCTCCAACCACATGACTTCAGACGCCGGTATAATCACCGTGCCTTCCCCTCCATATACTTCATCTCCATCCCATATTGTTGTCGGTAATGGGAACCTTCTTCCTGTTACCTCCACTGGCGTGACATCTTTTCCACATAATCTTCGTCTTAATAATGTCCTTGTTTCACCTGGCCTTATTAAGAACCTTGTTCCAGTACGCCAGTTTACCTCTGACAACAATTGTTCTGTGGAGTTTGACCCTTTTGGCTGTTCTGTGAAGGATCTTCCCTCTCGGAAAGAGATCGTCAGGTGTGACAGCTCCGGTCCTCTCTATCCGCTGCAGTTCCCAGAGTCTGTGTCTGCTCTCCTCGCCACTACCAACCCTTCACTTTGGCACCAGCGTCTTGGTCATCCTGGCCATGAAGTTTTGTCTAAGTTAGCACAGTCATCCGCTATTCCATGTAATAATAGTGCTAGCCAAACATTGTGTCATGCTTGCCAGTTCGGTCGCCATACTCGTTTACCCTTTCATGCGTCCTCTTCCAGAACCACTCATAATTTTCAGTTAATACATTGTGATTTGTGGACGTCACCTATACCTAGTGTTTCTGGTTGCAAGTATTATCTTGTCATACTTGATGATTTTTCGCATTATCTCTGGACTTTTCCGCTTCAGCTAAAGTCTGACACTTTTCCTACCCTGTCTAATTTCTTTGCCTATGTGGCTACGCAGTTTGGTGTCCCCATTCAGGGTATTCAATGCGATAATGGACGCGAGTTCGACAATCATACTTCCCGCGCCTTCTTCCTCTCCCACGGCGTCCAGCTCCGGATGTCCTGTCCTTATACCTCGCCTCAAAAGGTAAAGTTGAACGCATTATTTGTACCATCAATAATGTTGTTCGCTCCCTCCTGTTTCAGGCCAGTGTCCCCCCATCCTATTGGGTTGAGGCTCTTTCCACCGCAACCCTCCTCCTTAACATTCTTCCCACCAAGACACTCAACTTCTCCACCCCACACATGGTGCTCTACGGGTCTCCACCCTCTTATGACCACCTCTGTGTCTTCAGGTGTCGTTGCTACCCCAATCTCTCCGCCACTGCTCCCCACAAACTCGCCCCTCGATCTTCCTTGTGTGTCTTTGTCGGGTATTCCCCTCATCACAAAGGCTACTGCTGCCTCGACCGGTCATCCAACCGGATCGTCATCTCCCGGCATGTGGTCTTTGATGAGGTGTCCTTCCCGTTCTCTGAGGATCCTGGTCGTCCCTCACCCCAAGATTTTGAGTTTTTGAGCTCCACTGGCCCTGTGATGGCTCCCCAGTAGCGTCATTTTTTACCTCTGAGCACTCCCGGTGACTCCAAGACACCACACATGCGGGCCTTCTTCCGAGGAGCAGGCCCCTTGGGTCATTCTTTGCTCCCTTGGACTCCGTGGCTTCGCCAAATTGGCCAGTCTCGCTTGCTATTGCCTCGTCGTCACCAAGACCCGGCTGGCTGCTTGCTCCCCGACGGTTGGCAAGCGGCCTCCCGTCATGCACACCAGTGGGGCCGGCAAGACCTCCTCGGGGTGCCCGATGGCCATTCACTCACCACCTCCAAATGGGTCGTGTCGTGTCGCGCCCCCCGGCCGGACCGTCGCTTGGCTTTCAATGAAATACAGCCTCGTCTACCACCGACGCCTACACCTCCTCCGCCCGATTTGGTTGTCTGGCGCGCCGGTCCCCGGATTCGGTGACGACGACGACCGACGTCCGCGATCTGCTTCTCGCCGCGATCGCTCCAGCTTATCTGCGTCTCCGGTCATTGCACCACCATCACCACCGATTCCTCCTGTTACGCCTCCCGGGGGCGTTCCCATTGTCCTGTGGTTAACCAACATGCCATGTGGACACGTGGGAAGGCCAGTTTCCGACAACCGGTCACTCTTCAGGCGGTTTCCCTATCGCCTCTTCCGCGGACTTATCGCGCCGCACTTGCTGATCCAAATTGGCGTGCCGCTATGCAGGATGAGTTTTCAGCACTGCTTTCCAACCACACTTGGGATCTTGTACCACGCCCATCTAGATCCAATGTGGTGACTGGCAAGTGGGTCTTCAAGCACAAATTCAAGGCAGATGGTTCTCTCGAGCGCTACAAGGCGCGCTGGGTTCTTCGTGGATTTACTCAAATACTGGTATTGACTATGATGAAACTTTTAGCCCTGTTGTGAAGCTTGCTACCGTCCGGACAGTTCTATCTCTAGCTATTTCTCGCAAGTGGCCGGTACACCAGCTCGATGTGAAGAATGCTTTTCTTCATGGGCATCTCTCAGAGACAGTGTATTGCGCTCAGCCTTCAGGTTTTGAGGACTCCTCTCGCCCAGATTATGTGTCGTCTGAATCGCTCTCTGTATGGACTCAAACAGGCGCCACGTGCATGGTACAGTCGTTTCGCCAGTTTCCTTCTTCAGTTGGGTTTTGTGGAAGCCAAGACAGATACATCACTCTTTGTATACCGTCGTGGCTCTGAGACTACTTATCTTCTGCTGTATGTGGATGATATTGTGCTGACAGCTTCTTCTCTAGACTTGCGTCATCGCATTATTGTAGCCCTACAGCTTGAGTTTTCTATGAAGGATTTAGGCGAACTTCATCATGTTTTGGGCATGCAAGTTCAGCGCACTGCTTCTGGGTTATTCTTGTCACAACACCAGTACATGTTGGAAATCTTGGAACGTGCTGGTATGGCTGATTGCAAGCCATGTGTCACTCCAGTTGATATCAACCTGAAGCTCTCTGCCGATGGTGATCCTATTTCTGATGCTATAGATTACCGTAGTCTTGCCGGCGCATTGCGGTATCTCACCTTCACACGGCCTGATCTTGCTTATGCAGTACAACAGGTGTGTCTACACATGCACGACCCGCGGGAACCTCATCTTGCAGCTCTGAAGCGGATTCTTCGCTATGTTCGTGGTACTTTGGACTTGGGCCTTCATATCCGTGCCTCCAGTCAGTCTGATCTTGTGGTCTACTCAGATGCAGATTAATTTGGTTGTCCTGACACTTCGTAAGTCCACCTCGGACTCTGTTGTGTTCCTCGGTGACAACTTGGTCTCCTGGTCCTCAAGCGCCCGAACAACATCTCCCCCCGCTCGGTGTTGGAGCTGAGTACCGTGCTGTAGCTAATGCGGTTGCAGAGGCTTCCTGGTTGCGCCAGCTATTGTTCGAGCTACATACACCTCTGCGTCAAGCAACGTTGGTGTATTGTGACAACATCAGTACAGTTTACATGTCTTCCAACCCCGTTCAGCATCAGCATACCAAGCATATTGAGATCGATCTTCACTTCGTCCGAGAACGAGTGGCTCTTGGTGCTGTCCGCGTTCTTCACGTCCCAACGACATCCTAGTTCGCCGACATCTTCACCAAAGGCTTGCCTTCTTCTGTCTTCACGGAGTTTCGGTCCAGTCTCAACGTTCGCAAACACGCCTGTTAGGCGTAAATGTATATATTCGTATATGGGCCGAGGTATAGCAACGTTCCTCTATTTGGTTAGAAATATGAGGAGATCTCGGTTTGGTCCTGTTTCTATAAACCACGAGATCTCCTCTCCCCTATATATATGTACATAGGTCTCTCCAATCAATCAATCACGACGCTGTGATTGCGGGAGGGTGTTAGACTGTAAATGTATATATGCGTGTGTATATGGGCCTGGGCCTTGGTATAGCCGGCCGGTCCTCTATTTGGTTAGAGAGATATGAGGAGATCTCGGTTTGGTCCTGTTTCTATAAACCACGAGATCTCCTCTCCCCTATATATATGTACATAGGTCTCTCCAATCAATCAATCTATTATTCCACGCAATTCTTATTGCTTTCAGGAACACCAGTTTCACAGAAGCATAAAATGACTGAAAAAGCCTAAAACATCCACTAAATCTCATATATGTCAGTGGACACTATCGTCATAGGCTTGAAGTTCCTCATCCAGTTCCTTCATTTGCGTGATGCGCTGAAGTTACAAATTTATTTTAAAGGGCATAAATGTACTTACATGGTTTATCTAATTCCACCGAACCCAAACAATGCAAAGCTCGACCTACGGGATTCACTGGCGATGGCTCGTTGTCTTCTCGGCTGCGGCGGCGGCTGTCAATCCCCCTCCGCAACCACACCGACCCTGGGTAGCGCATCGGCCTCTCGCGGTTGCCTCCCATGCCTGCCAGCGACCTCGGTCAGGTGGGCGCCGGCAACTCTGGGCATGTGGTGTGGGCGCAATGGACTGCGGGCAGGCAGGCGGCAGCGACGGGGGCAGCATGCGCCCACTGGCGGGCTCCGGGAAGGCAAACAATGGCGACCTTTACCAGATGTGTGACATAGCGAGCAGGGAAGCGGCGGCGGCGACGATGGGGCAAAAGCGCGAGGGGGCAGATGGCGTGTTTAGAAGAAAACAACTATTTCGTTATTAGAGGTCAATGGCCGAAGTCAAAGAACTAAAATGCCCTCAAGTATAATTAATTAATTTATTTATTTGCATCATCAACAGCGGAGAATAATTACGTAGAGAGGAATCATCTGTTTCCTCCCAAGCACGGTAACAGAGCTCGTCGCATAAAAAGAAAACACGGTAACAAAGCTCGTCAGTTATTATTAAATATATGAAAGTTTGAGTTCGATTATTTATGTTCAATGGCACTGGGAATGCAAAATGACAGTCAGTTATTATATATTAAAGTTTGAATCCAATTATATACTTATGTTGAATCGAATTCACAATGGACATCGAGGATGCTCGAAGGGTGGACCAAAAAGTCGAAGGTCGTTAGCTCGCTTGGCTCGTGGCTGGTTTGACTCGACTCAGCTCGGCTCGTTATGATAACGAGCCGAGCCGAGCCAAGAATTTAGCTCGTTAGCTATAACGAGCCAACTTAAGTCAGCTCACGAGGCGCTCGCGAGTTAAACGAGAAAATAAGTATCAAAACTTATATTAGTTTTTGTATTACTTCATGTCTTGCACTTTATAATTGATTGGTAACTGGTCTAGACCCTATAAATTAACTGGTAACTGGTCTAGATGTATTTCTTTTATATTATTATTATTCTCAAATTTTAGATAAATGCAAATATTATATTTTGTGTATTTTTTATACCGGGCTCACGAGCTTAACGAGCCAGCTCGAGCTTTTAACGAGCCGAGCCGAGCTGGCTTTCTGGCTCGTTAGGATAACGAGCCGAGCCGAGCCAAGCTAGCTCGTTATCTTAACGAGCCAGAACGAGCCGAGCCAGCTCGTTATCCAGCCTTAGCTGGACTATGTAATAGCATCATTGCATGAAAAAAATCATAACATACGATATTTTTACTAAATTGCAAGAAAAATAATTTGATTATCCGTGAAACAACATGGGTCACCCTGCTAGTTGGCAAAAGTGCCTCTACCTGAGTTGGTTAGAGCAGCTGCAATGTATAAGTTCTCTAGAAATTGCTAAGCAAGACACGTCAGCAGGTAGTGCTATCGATAAATTTGCTCCAACGTCTGAACTCATAGTCTAAGCAAAAAAGAGACCCAATCTATAAAAGCTCTCCAACTTTCCCTAAAGAAATAAATAAGATGAATATAACAAATAATATTCTATTTGTAGCACAGGGGCTCAAACAAGCACCCAAGCCAATGTGGTGCTTCCTAGCACCTACTCCCTCCGTCCTAATATGTCCGTGGACCGTCGATTTTACATCTATACAAAGTGCAACAAAAATTAACTGAATCTAGACATAGATGTGTACAGATGTATTGAAGGTTGTGTGAATCTAGACAACTACTGCTACTCCTAGAACGACACGTATAGGGGGATAGAGGGAGTATGCTCTAGCATAGGGAATGTTTTGCTAGCACCCTCTGGCACCTCACGCTGCAGCTGCTCTTGGGTAGCACTCCGCAGATTCTGTGTTCGACTCCCCGTGTGAATAAATTTATAGGCTAGGGTTAAAAAATCACCTTGTATGTCCCACACCAAAGCACAGGTCTAGTTGTTCTAATATAGGCTACACGGCACCGCTATGTTTGATTGGGGCAGTGGTTCGGAGGGTTTCCCGACCTGTATGAGAAGACCTTCTTCTTAATGCAATACTCGGAGCTGTCATACCCCTGACCCTGAATATCAAGTTTTTCAGCATGCTAACCGTACAAAAAAGTGGACACGTGATTTTTTTTTTTTTGCCATTCCGCAACTTCTTGGCTATTGATTTCATTTTTTCTATTTCACAGGTTTCAACAAAGCACGCGAGTCCATAGATGCTTAAATACACAATTAGACATCAGTAAAACAACACAACTCAACCCTACCATCACTAGCCCTTACATGCAAATGTGCATGCAGCTCACCCAAGCACAATAACGAAATTAACTAGAGGCAGATACTAATGCTAGTTTAATACTAATACAAGATTAATCCCAATATTTGATTGGGTCACATGACCCCTACATCCGAGCCAACAATGAACCCTATACATCCCTCAAAAAAAAAAAAAGAACCCTATACATATTCGGCATGCATTGGTGATTAATAAAACAAGCAGATTCGCATCCAATCCTATGGTCGATAAACGAACGTGTTGAAGATTCAACCAGGGCAATGCCGCATCAAATCAACCAACTGATTAGGCGATACCTCCGTTAGAAGGTTAGAAGATCTTGCGTCCGGCAGCCGTGGGAAGAGAGGCGAGTCTCTCTTTCTCGCCCCTGATGGAGGCGAGAATGGCGGCTTGTTGGGCGGACGTGGGAGCCCAAGGGAGAATGCAGAGAGAAGAAGGGCCGGCTATACAAGGCTGAGCGTTTTGTGGGGACAAATTTATTGTTGATTTTCTGTTGCGGTGTTTCTTCTTCCTCCTGTCTAAGTTCTCCACGCAAAGAGCTCTTCCTCACCTCTAACATTCACTGACGCATGATGCGCCAGCGGCTCAGGACATTTCGCTTGTCTCTCACAATCAACAAAGTAGTATAGATAAAAATAGAAGGGCACAAGTAGTAGACATATAACGTGCTCCCTCCATTCCAAATTATAATTCTTTTGACTTTTTTTTACTCCAAATTTGATCGCTTGTCTTATTTAAAAAATTTATGTAAACATAGTCAAATTTAGGTCATTCTTGAAGAACTTTTATTAATAAAATAAGCCACGGCAAAAGAAGTAATATATAGCATAAATTTTAAAATAAGACGAGTGATCAAACTTAGGATAAAAACTCAAACAAACTATAATTTGTAACGGAGTTAATAGAAAGAGACTCTCTTTCTCATGGAGTATTTTTTTATATTACTACAAAATAGGCCCTACGGTATTTAGTAAGGGGGAGTATTTTACCAAATTAATTTGCTATAGTAGATATTACTCCCTCCGTCCACATTCCACGATAGAATGCAGCTATATGATCAGTGCTGGTCAAATGAGTTCAATTTTAACTAAGTTTATAGTAAATAGTATTATGATTTATATCTCCAAATAAATTTATTATAAAATATAACTAATCTAATAATACTTATAATCTGTTTCAAAACACCATCTCCATCGCCCCTCTCCCAGAACTCCAGGATCGCAGAATGCAAACCACGCCACAGACAATTGACTGATCAACTCAGTTATGATCAGGCAAGCAACGGTGCAGATGAGTCGCTGCTTTTCCATCTCCGGCTATAGTACGCGTACAGAACCAGCTGCATTGCTCCCAGGATAACTCCAAGCCCATTCGGGAACTGAAAACAATATATACATTGTTAATCCTCGGCACAATGCAGACTTAGTTTCTCTTATAATTCCATTCTAAATTATAAGACGTTTTAAATTTTATAGATACATTGATTTTATTATTATTTAGACATAGCTAGTGTATGTCTAAGTGTATAGTAAAAGCTATATACTAGAAAAGTCAAAATCTTATAATTTGGAATGGAGAGAGTAATCAATTACTAAAACATCAATATCATCTTATAGATATATTTTGAACACAAATCTATTGATGTAAGTTTTATGCTCTAAATTTGCACATAACTTGACTATCAAAATTTGACTTTTTCTCTAATCAAATATAATTTATCATTTTTTTGGACATAGCTTCTTACACCTCCACAATAGTCCCTATGGCAAGGCAGGGTAATGGCAACAACCTCCGCTCAGATCCATGGTGCGTCGACCAATGGCGAGGCTTTGGAAAGCGGCCGGAGCAAAACATCTGGTAACTCTTCTATCTTTTTTTTTATCCTTTTCTAGATATGTTTTACTTTGGGGGCGTGGCAGGCTAAAGCACCTTGTAGAGTGCTACTGTGGTTATCTTTGGCTTTCTCCTTTTTAATATGATATTCGTTTAAAAAAAACTAATTTCTTCTCCGTCCGTGATATTTTACTTCTTGTTATTCTTGCGTACTAGTTGCTTGTACCATCACGAGAGAGTTCTACAGTTTGGGCACTGCCGGAGATACGCGCGTTGAATAGCGTTGTCATTTATGAAACAGTAAATTTGGATGGGATGGAGCGCTCACATATATGAAGAAATCACGCAGCAGAAGGCCGTACATTGCGAAGGATGCGCTCATCAGGAACGTTGAGATGGACAGGTAGAAGGGCATGAACTCCACGCACTCGGTGCGGATCACCAAACCCTGAACAACCACGACGAAGCACTCAAAAACCAATGATCACAATTCACACACACAGCATGGGAGAAGTCGAGTCGATCAAGAAGTATAGCTTGGGAATTGGGATAGCATACCATGACAGCCAGTGGGGAAGCGAACATGGAGACCAGAGACGCCATGCTCACGCTGCCAACGAACAGCTGCCGCACCGGCTGGTCGAACAAGGCGATGCTCGCGTGCGCAATGAGCGCGAACGCGAAGACCACTAGGAACAGAAGCCCCGTGATCTTGAGCTGTGGAGAGAATAATGGAGAACAGGCCCATTTTACTGGTGTCAGTCAGTAAGTCAGACAGCTGGATAAAATCCAGGACGGCAAGAAGGCAATTGAATTACCCGAGTGGTCCTGCTGTCGGCGTAGAAGATGAAGAGCGAGATGTAGGCGAGCTGGAACAGCGCGCCGGTGCCGTTGACGGTGGCGACGAGGGCCCTGCCGCCGCCGTCGGAGACCCATGGGAGGCCGTACCAGAGGCAGATGCAGCAGTTGAGCAGGGACAGCAGGTAGGGGAGCCCATCGAACTGCTCCGTCGACTTAGCCTTGAGGACCCTCTTGAACGTCGGCCTGAGTGTCACGCAGGAAGACAAGAACAGCAACGCATTCGTGAGCAGTTCATCGACAGAAAGGCCGGAAAGACAAGAAAGAAAGAAATAATCAGTGTGCTGGCATGGCTAGCTTACACCGGCGACAGGAAGAGGGCGAGGGCGAAGACGTTGCCTGCAATGGCGAACAAATCGGAAGAAAAACATTCAGCTACCCAGTCTACAAAGCAATTCAGAGCTTTGGAATCCTGAGAGGCGTAGGAGGTGGAGATTACCAGCAAGGCCAGCGGCGAAGCAGGAGAGATCGTACAGCGAGCTCATGATTGCACCACCTCGCTTGGTCCTCTGCTTTTCGTTTAGCAGACTCCACCTAGTCCTTCACTCCTTCCTCGTGCTAAAAATCTGGGGCTCTTATAAAGTCTGAAGCCAGCACGGGTCCGTCAGTCACCGAGCTGCAACTGACACGAACTCCACAACAACCGATTGAATTGTCGGATTTGAGCCCCTGAAAACGTGGCCCGGCTGCTGGTCCTGCGAATATCCCTCTTTCTTTCTCCTTGTGGTGAGGCTTTAGCCTTCAAGTATCTCCCCTCTGTCCGCGAACCCACAAATATATGTTGCGAATCTCAACCCTGCATCATTAGGGGTTGGTTCATGTTACCGCATGGCCACGTGTATTTTTCTTGTCAGTCAAACGAGTCACTGACTCACTGAACGGACGGCTGGCAAAAGTGCAGCGTGCAGAACAGTACTTCCCCGGCAGCGACGAAACTCACCGCGAATTAACCACTTTTATCTTGCAAAAAATAGGAAAATGTGCTGCCAGCTGTCTTTTTTATATAGTACAGTCGATCGGTAGTACAGTAGATTCTTATTCGCCAACGTTCAAATCAGATGAACATGTGGATGTGGTGAACGGAAATCAGCCAGGTCGCTTTAGAAGCCCCGTAATGGCTGCGTAGCCACCACTTGCCCCTGCACTCCTGCAGTCAGATGCCTTGCCCGGCCACAAGCGCTTTCGCGAAAACGAAGGGCTAAGCGGGTCAGGCGCGTTATTATGGCGTTGAGCCGCGACGGCTCCTTAAAACGACACGGGTTTCGTCTTTTCCCTTTCCGCCGACTGGACAAGCATTTTCCTCGTCAGCCATTAACGATTTAATGTTTTCTCAATACAATCAGCAATCTTCCTGTTCCATTTCCTGCGTGACCGCTCAGTCCTAGAACTGTTCAGCGGTTCAATCTTCCTGTTCCATTTCCTCCGTGATCGCTCAGTCCTAGAACTGTTCCGCGGTTCAGCAGTTCAATTTAGTTCCCGAACTGATAAAAAGGTAGGACTTGGTCTATATCAACACTTTGCATCACCGTACTTAGTTAGAAAGCCAAACTTTCTTAACCCGCTACCTGCACATCATGAGCTCATTTTTTTACCAACTGCAACAGGCATCTTCTCGTCGCATTTTTTGCGACAACCGTACTCTGCCAAAGGCTAGGCTTGATAAACTATGGCTATGAACCAAACACGGAACGAATTCAGTCAAACTATGACCAACCTGGCTGACACTGAGCAATCTCGGATTGAGGCTATCCAAAGAACCATCTCAAATTGTTCCAACAAATATACTCCTTACAAGTGACAACCATGAGAGAAAGGGGCATAGCAGACGATACCCCAGAAAAATAAGTACAAAGGCAGAAACAACAAAATTTCTTTACGGTCGACCCACTTCAACTCTTATGCTACAAAGACCAGTACCTAGACGACACTAGACAAGGGGGACTAGGCGTTGGGGGATGATGCTAAGGAAATTAAGAATATTAACCACGACCAGGGACTAGGTGTAACTTTGCACAGATGCAGAGACACAGGGAGGAAGAAAGTAGAAACATCAGCTCGATGTTATCCCAAATCCTTCTGCTTCATCATTCATGTGACTATTCAAACAAAGTCTAGTTACAACTGCTCATCATTTTGTCTTCTTGACTTCATGTTCCAACCCTATAAAAAAAAAGAATATTAGATGAGATGCTTAAATACTACTAGTAGTATCGATTAACTGCCAAACATTTGTTCATCTCATCCCCAGAAGCCAGGAAAACGATTGCCTATTTCTGAACAGTGATATCCAGCAGAGCTGCTACAAACATAGCAAGTGTAGCGAATCATATTTATCAGGACTGGCTGTAATCATGTTCAGTAAGTTGTTCATATCCACATTGATATATACTCCCTCCCCAAAATAATCGCACTTTCTTCGATTCAAATTTTGTCCCAAAATAAATGCATAGATGGTGCGAGTCCCAACGCATGCCGATGAGCACAGAAAATCAGTAGCCAAAAGCTTTGTGGACCAGCAAGAAACCAAAGAAACAAAAAAAATGATTTCCAAAACAAAAAATAAAAGAAACTGACGGAGGCTTGATGCTGCAAAAATGTCCTAGTCTTTTTCTATAGGGGTAGAAGCATATAATTTTACCACCAATCTTGGTCTGCGCGCCAAATCCTAGAATCCCAACTTATTTTGGTATATAGGGAGTAGAACGCGACATAGACAAATACATATACTCATACAGGCATCAGGGGAAACGACCAAGTATTCTTGTTATGACTGATGAGTACCGCAATTGCAGTTCAGTCCACATGTACCAAGCAGGTGCCATCATATTAAAGAAGGCTAGTCTGGCAGGTAATTGTTCAAGATTGTTTAGTTCTGTTCTGTATGTGTGAGTGTTGGTTTGGGTATTTGTGCTTGGCCCTTTTCTTCTATTTACAAAGATACACATTATGCTGCCAAGTGGAAGAGAATCAATAGATCATCTCCAGTTATTTGGGGATTCACAAGTTTGTTTTAACTCAATTAAGAAACATACAGAACTTGGGAAGTCATTTTTCCATGTCCATAATATGACTGCCTTCTAGTAGGGTGTAAATTCTGTGCAACGTTTTCATGTGCATGACATGTATACTGAGTTTCAAATAAATGGTGCGACTTCAGCAAGTTTCAGGTATTACACCACAATGTACAACCTATCTTCCATGGGCAGTTTATCAGCATCGGGAAAACAACGTTCATAAGAAGGAAATCATGCTAAGCCAATAGAAGTCATGATATGAAGCTTTTCATATTACTCAGAGATGTTTTTTACCAAAAACTTGACACTAAAACATCCATCTCTCAAGATATGATGTGTCCATTCAATGTTACTCCCTTAAAATGTCAGAAAAAAATCCACAAATAAATCCATAGTCTCAAAGGAATTATTAAATAGATTAAAAAAGCATGGAACTTGAGTATATAAAATGCTGATTATCTAACTGCATCCTCCTAATCTGTGCAATCAGCCTTTATTTTCACCTTGCACCCTTTAGCTACATGGAGTGGCACAATAATTGATTTGGAAAATTTGTTTGGTAAATTTTCTGGAATTCAATCACTGCTTATAACTGGGTAGAGTATATTACTATATTCTACATTCAAAACTCAGCAAGTGAAGTCAAGAAGTGAATTTCAAAGCTAAGCGAATAATTTTAGCTGCTACCATCACCAATGACATATAACAGTAATGATAACAATATCACAAGCCATTTATTAAACCATGTGTGAGAGATACAAAAGCGCATTTCATGGCCCAAAGGTTCACCCTGAAAAAAAGCATTTGCTCAGTACCCACAAAAACACCATCGCTTTGCAATTATATAGGTTCCTTAGATGTTACAAACTGCAGGTTAAATTATATTTATAACGTATACACTGACATTGAACAGCACTCGCAATGATCTCACCAAATAAGCTATGCACAATGAACTCAGATATGCACCTCATATTCCAAAGGCTTAACCAGTAAAACTCGCGACCATATTTCCGCAACACCAATTTTTTGGCGCTAATTACAGTGTGCTTAGAAATAAGAAATTATGCCACTCAAAATCAACAGAGTACTATAAAAAAAAACACAATCATGAGATATCGAAGTATAGAACCATCTCACCTTCACCTATCTCCCTGAACCAGTAAAGGCATCAAAAAGGCCGCAGCAATTCCACCATGTTGCCCGCTGCCCTGAAGCTGCCACTGCAGGTCCGCGCGCCACCTGCAGCAAATAGAACCCACCCAATCAGAACTCACAGCTTTAAAACGTGGGAGATGAATAGAACTAAACCGCATACACCATTTACCTCTGTAGTATGCACATCAACAGCCTCCTGAGATCGCGACACCTCAGCAGAGTCCTTGACCACCACATTGCCGCTATTCGTCTCTCGTTCCTTCAACACAACAGTAGCACCGGCGCCCTTCACCTCTGGTTCCTGTACCTCAGGCGCTACAGGCGTTTCCTCGACCACCACCACTTCATCAACCTTCGGCTCAGATTCAAGCACCAGATGCACCTTGGCCACCTCCTTCTTCACCTCTGAAGCCTCCACCGCCGGTGCATCAACCACTGGCTCCTGCACCACGGATTCCTCGGCCACCAACACATCCTTTACCTCAGGTTCCTGCGCCACCACGGCGTGCACCTCCACCTCTGCCTCATCCACCTTGCCCTCACGTTCCTGCGCAGCGGTTTCCGGCGGAAACGCGTCCACCATGACCTCCCCAGACCCGGCGACGTCCGCCTCGACGGCGCGCTCCACGGGCACCTCGGCCGCGGTGGCCTTCCTCTCCTCCTCGTCCGGCTCCGACGCAGCGGCCCGGGGGGTCACCATCTCCTCAGAGCTCTCCATGGAGTCCTCGCTCGCATCCACTGGGCCAACCCACACACAAGCACAGCATCAGAAACCACACGCATCCATCATACATATAGCGCAAGGAAGGGAGCAAGGAAAGCGCGAACAGCCCGTAAAGCGGCGGCCGGTGGGAACATGGTGGCGGGGAAACCCGTGGCGACAGCGAATGCCACCCTCGCCGCACGCGAAAAGGTGATTCCCACCCCGCTGGTGCCGAAAGCGGCGCGCGGATCTGCTCCGGCTTAAAGAGGGTGGAGGAGGGTTAGGTGCCATTCGTACCGCGAGAAACTTTGGGTGGGATCCGCAGGTGGTGGTGGTCGCCGTCGCGGCCGCTCAAGGCGTTGTTGTTGTCATCGCTGCCGTTACCGTTGCCGTTGCTGGTGTTGGTGTTGCCGCCATCGTCGGGGTGGCCCTGCTGCTGCTGCTTCTTGAGCTTGGCGCGCTTCTTGGCGCCCTTCGGCATGGCGGAGAGGGATTTCGATTCGAAGGGAGGCGGCGCGGAGAGGAAGAGGAGCGAGGGGCAAGCGATGGGAGGGGGAAGGGAAGGGACGGCGAGGAATTGCGAATCCGATTTGTTTTTAGCCGGAGGGAGGGG